ATTCACAAAGCGTTTTATCTTACCACTAAGAGTACTCCTAAGTCACGCTAAAAGTTTTTAACTAAAAGTTCTCTCTTCACAAAGCCGCTGAGACCAACTTTCAGAAAGGAGAAGTGAAAACTCCTGAGCTAAGAGTGCGACTCCGTTGCTATGGCTGACGTCAGTTTTCATGGACGAGCTCCCATGCAAGAACCACAGCGATTGGTTAATGAAAGATCGTCTGTGCCGGTGAAAACGCACGCACAACATCCCTCAGTAATTATAAAAAAACACTGAGAAATAAACAAATACAAGTGAAATAATAACGGATTAGGTTCTGTTTACAAAAGTAGTACATTCTCCAAAATGCATCTGTATGATCAGGTTTGTGTCGACCCGGGAGAATTTAATTTTACTATAAAAATGGGAAAAAAACAGCCGATCAGGTCACTCTCCATTGAGTACATACACTCGTGTGTAGATCCTGGACACCGTGCAACAGTGTCTACAGCTGTACAGCCAGCATCCAGTACAACCTGTGTGTTGGTGGTGTGATTTTGTTTTCCTGTTTACGAATACCTCGTCGTCTTGTGACGGTGCAATCATTTTTATATGCTTCCATCTCTGGCACCGATCACAGCAGGTAGACTGGCTGTTGCCATGAAGCTGCTTTATTTCCCTGCTCAGCTGTTGGACATCTAAAAGAAATCATATGAATTGTCCTATGACGTAGGGTCACAGCGCATTTATTGTTTCGTGGATATATCGGCTTTTCTCTGTAGCTTTTAAGACTCTTTGCGATGTGGTCTTAGTGAGTTAGGAGTCCTCTCGAGTTTCTTTTAATGCTAAGTGGCTTTGTGAATATCTCTTAGTAAAAAAAAAATAGGCGTCCTAAAGTTAGGACTGACACGTCCATTATTTCTAGGAGTTTCTCCTAAACTTCTCGGCAAGTTCGGAGCTACTTTTAGCCTTAAGATGCTTTGTGAATACGGGACCTGGTTCATAAGTTATCAGAGAAACAATTGAAACAAAGGTTAGCAGCGATCTCAGCTCCCAGCCCTTCCCTGATGTCTTGAGTCCAATGTTCAGCGTCAGCGAAACACTGACTCTTAATGTGAAACTACTTTATTCAGTGTTTTACTGGTTATAATCACCTGGTGTTTGTTGTGCAGAGGAGGAGACCTCTGTGGTTAAAAACCTCCTCAACGACTTAAACTGAAGGAGAAACCAAGAGAAGCTGACGCCTATTTCTTATATTGTTTTGATTGAGAGACCCCCAGCTGCAGAAGTTACATACTGTGCGTTTGATGAAGCGTAAACTGATTTATTTCCACTCAAAGCATCAGATCCTGTTAGCACGCCTAACACCAACACCATCTAACCCCTTATATACTGAAGTAACATAATGCTCAAATAATGGACACAAACCAGGAGTGTGACAATTAAATGACGAGTGAACCGAGAAGTAACAACAAACCGAAAGGAAAAGGAGGAACAGTTTGAATCCGGAGGCAAGTACAAGCATATAATACAACAAATGCTAATTCAAATAAATCACCTTTCCTCACAACTTGCGAGGCACGCCAGCCTGGGACTGATTCCTCTCTCTGGTCAGTACAGGACAAACACAGAGGTGAACAGAGTGACTGCCAGCGCTTATGAAGTTTGTGGTGTAAACATCCACTGTGGTAGAGGACCGACTCCTCTGTGGCGGCATCAGTCTGACACGAGAGCACAAAGGCAAACCTCCTTTCTTCATAAATCAGAGCAGTAAAGTGAATTTACATAAGTGTCAGAGAGCAGAAAAGCATGTTTGATGGTGCCAACATGATCCCGTCTCTGCTGACACAGACCGGTTATTTAAAGTGGTCAAAGCTCATGTGTACGTCAGTAAATCAACTTGTCTCAGTGCTGAAATAAACTACATTTGCCCTGCTTCTCAGAGGGAAGGCTTAGTTCTTCTCTTCTTCTTCTTCTTCTTCATCTTCATCTTCTACATTTTCTGTACTTCAGATGTGCTCTGGGTTCATTTCATCCATTGAATGATAATAGGTTTACAGCAACAGAAATAACACCCAGGGGAAATTAGGGGGTTGCGGTGGTGATCACAGAAGAATCGAATACGAGTGAGATTATTCTGATCCACTTCCTGCTGAAATGATGAGTGTCTTGTTTGGGGGGGGGGGTCACTGCCAATCAAAGCCACTCGCATCAAAGTGCTGCACTCCCTTCTAATTGGTCGACAAAGAGAAGAGAGGTATGCGCAGTTTCTATCATGCTAACAAATGGACAGCCTGTCCGGCAGCAGCTCTTCCTTTTACACCACCAATTACCTGAGGCGGTGTGTTGTCAGTGGGACTCCCGGTGATGAAACGTAGGTTGGCCGCTACCAGTAATGTTGCTGAGTTGCCATAATTGATCTCCCTGGGTTTACTAGTGACGACTCGACAACACTTTTAATGAGGCTGCGGGAGACAAGTTTGACTCATACTGCTGGAATAGCTGTCTCAATCCAACGACTCCCCCGTTTGATACGGTGATATTTTATTTGTGATGCGGCATCAGTGAGTCCTTTTAAAATGAGAGGTGGCAGCCACTGTCCTCCAGGCGTCTGCGCTGCGTCTGTCCTCACTGTAGTGTAGCAGGTCACGCTGTCCTGGCTGGAGGGCTCAGCCAATCAAACAAGCCTGCAGCTGGTTCCTATACAGAGCTGATTGGATGGATGGCTGGAAACTCAAAGCTTTCAGTTCCATATATCTGCTGGAGTAGACATCTCAAAGGGGAACTCCCATTTTACACATGAGTGTCAGTTTACTTCTGATAAACAGAGTGACTGTCCTGTGAGAACAGTTGTAATGTCTCCTCAGGCTCTGCGGGAGCTTTGTTAAGTCTGACAACACAACCTGGTGATGAAATCATCTCAGGAGACTGTAGTTTAATGCTACAGTCAGCCAGTGTTATAAACATAGACTGTAAATAAATATGGACATAGCCTCCGTGATGTCACCAATAGGGCTCTGAAGAGCGGTTTTGAAGCTCAGATTGGGCTGCTGCGCTGTTGCCATCTTGGCAGTCTCTGACTCCGCCTAACTCCTGGCTAATCCAAAAATGGGCATGTGTGGAGCCAAGACTTTGGTGCATGCCGGTTTGTGGCAGGCATACACTCACCCACCTGTCACTCAGAGAGGCCACACCCTCAATTATGCAGAACTTTAAGCCTGTAATGATGTAAAATGTAAACAGGTGAGTTATATAAACAGTTGTCATGAAGGAGGAGTCAGCTTGTGGACTGACAGACGTAGGCATTTACCAGGTAGGGAGAACAAAAAGCAAAGCCAAATTGCATTGTGGGAAATGTAGGATGCAAGATTTTGGAGCTTGACTCACACAAAGGAATAAAAGTCAGCACTCTATGTTCATGTTCATTTTAAGTTCAAGGCTGAATTGCAGGAATACCTCTGTAAAAAACAGAGCTTTAAGAACAGGTGTTAGCAAGTTCCTAATTCACTGATTATCTACTTCAGGGTATATGGTTGATTTAAAGGATTTATTCTATATTTTTATTTTCAACAAATCCCATAGAAAAACTGTCTGCAGCACTTGACTCAGTCTATTATTTCATACTGAAGACTTATCATTAATAAAAATTTACAGGTTAATCTCAGATCTTGTCAGCAGAAGACCACACACTGTAGATTCAATGAGAACGTTTGTTCCTGACAGAACCACTGAGATGGAACATGACACAAACTGAGCTACACACTTTATAAGACAGTAGAAAGACAGTAGGATCAAGGTCTGTGAGGCAGGAAGCTAACAGTGAAGAAAACTGCTTTGGAAACTTCATATTGAGGTTCTGAATCCACAATCAGTGACTGGGTCAAACTGCATGAAGGGAAGGGGAGGTGACAGATTTAACCCTGCGTTAGGTTTCCTCACTGGAAGATTCATCTGTAGTGTACAGATATTTTCATGCTTTATCCTGCTGCAGTTTTTACTGCACCTGAGAAGTAGGGTTTGAATTTTATCCATTCTGATTTTGATTTTGCTTATTGATTACTGTTCTTATCGGTTCATTATTTCAATTCTAAAATGTTTGAAGAGGTCAGTTCAGGAAGCAAAATAAAAAAAAAACAGATTTGTTAATCGAACATTCACAAAGTAAATAGTATTTATATTTCTAGTATTTACTACAATAATAACAGGCAAGATCCATCTAGAGCAGTTGGTTAAACTAACTGCTAGTTGTTTTATTTTCGTGTTCTGCTGACGAACACATTTTCATCTTTGTTTGTCTTATATTTTACTAATCAAGAACATCACACCCTCTCCACTATCAACGCAAAAACACATCAGTCATAACAAGCAAATGTATGATTGAGGCATTTTAAGAAGAAAATAATACTCTGGAAAATATTTAAAGAAAAAAAACCAAAACACTGGTGGCCAAGAATCACACAGTCAAATTGTAACCAGAAGTAAATCCACTCCAGCATGAGAAACATGAGCGTGAATGCAAGGCATCAAACACTGCACAGTCTTTTAGATCGATGCTGTGCTGCTTCAGATGTTTGCCCAGATTTGATGTGCAACCTGACTTCGAGCTAATTAACTTCCCACAGACTCTGCACTTTGTCTTGTTACCTCGTTTTCTTTTCTGAAGTGAAGCCACATTTTTCACCGTTTGCCACGCATGCTAGCTCGCTTTTTTTGGGGGGTTAATTGTACAGTGTGAATTTTAAACTGTGCATGCTAGCTTGTGTTTAAACAACCGCACATTCTTTGAAGGATGTGGCCCCTGAACTGAGACAAAGCTGCTGTTGCATTGATGTGTGATGGAGGACGTAGACGGGTCCTGTTAGATAGCTACGTACTTTCTTGTAGATGTGTAGGGACCGATACACAGAACCAAAATGCTTTTAGTTTTTTTGGGTCCTCGGGTTCTGGGCATTTTGGAACTGGGTTTGGGGACCCAACCCAATAGAAAAGCAGGTGTTCCTTTTTAGTTTTGATGCACTCACCTGTAGCTCCCTCGGTTGGCGCGGTCATCTCCCAGACTCCGATCACCAGCACCATGACGAGTAGAGCCCCTTTACTTCCGCTCTGCGTGTATCGTTCACTCATCCTGGGAAAACACAAGAGGAGTGAGACTGTGAACAGGTCATTTATTACTGCAGCAGTTTTAACCTTTGAACCGAACAGCGTCATATAGGGCCGTATACGACGTTTTAACACTTGTTTATTTACATTTTACCAACCAACGTCATATATCAGCATCTCCGCAGCCTCCACTCTGGATTTGAAGGCTTCATGGCCCAGAGCAGGAAGAGGGAGCTGTTCCACCAGCTCACAGTTAAACTTCACAAAAGCTTAGCTTGTCTGAATGTGTATTTGCCCTTATCACACAGAGATACAGGCTCTTATCCTTCTTCTTGCTTTTGAAAACAAACTACAGCTGTGAATATGCCTTAGATCGCTGTCTCCAAATCCTCCCTCCACCTCTCTCCTCCAGCAGAGGGTTCTTACAGGGCGGGAACATGAACAGAAGGTGAAGAAACTCCGCCGTCCCGACAGGCTTCCGTAAGCGTCTCCGGGCTCTACAGCAGAGAGGAGGAGAACGAGCAGGCCGTAGTGGCTAATCCTTCCCTCCGCAGTACCTTTTCCACCGCGCTCAGTCCTTCTAATGAAGTGTGGTGGAGCTGAGGCCACACAGCATAAACCATCTGGCACAGTGTGTTATCACTGACAGACAACGATCACATTTCAATCGGGGGTGCGGGAGCGGTACAGTAATTACCGGAAGAAGCGCGGTGTCGTATAGCGTGAGCGTACAATGTTACAAGCTGCGTTTACGCCTTATTCACCACCTCCTGCATCCTCGCTGCCGGCCTCATTGACATATAGATTGGCTAAACCTCGCTGGGGTTCTCAGATTATTTGTTGTAATTAAGTTTATTTTGGCAAAGCGAACATGACCTTTTATAGAGATTTTTTTTTTTTAATACCTCCCAGAGTCACAGAGGAATTAGAATCTAGTGATTTACTCAGATGTTCAGTGAGCCCGCCTAAAATACAAATAAGGTGTCTATCATCATGACACACAAGCAAGACGGACTCTGGTCCTGTCAAGATACTGTACATGCACACGTTAAAACACCTGGCAAACAATGGGTCACTGGTGTTTTTTTAAATGTCCAAATTTATTGAGATTTTACTTAAAATAAATATTTAAGGATGCATTTCATTTGTCACTGACTCTTAGCTTGGCATTTAGAGAAATACCCGCACAATGACACCAAGACCCCGGACACAAAACTGCACCGTGTAGTTTTTACATTTAGAGAAGAGAAAACTGGGACTGGACTGATGTGTTGGTCTGATATCAGTCAATCATTATAATGCAAAATAACTTTTAAGCACTATTACATATCCAGTACTGCCCTCGCAATTTTAAGGCACTGAAAACACTTTGATGTTTTGCACTTCAACACTACTACATTTCAGAGAGTAATAATACTTTTTACTGTACTACCCCATATGCAAATGTAATATATCTACATATAGTTAATTTCCACATATGAGGTGTATACAAAATAAAAACACATATGTGAAAATTATATATAAAACCTATTAGAAATTGGAACAATTTCATATATTCACATATTTTTGTTTTGTTTGTGTATGTATGTTTATAGACATATGTTACATAAATATATATCCATCCCAAAGCCTGTTACTATATGTTGATATTATATACATTAGGGTCCAAAAGTCTGAGACCACATTCCCAGAATGGGAAAATAAACATGTTTAAAATTGATGAGAAATTAATAAGAAAAACATATACGCATATAGAATTTTTATATGCATACATTACTTGTTTTGATAAAGTACATATATAAATTAAATGTACATTAACATATATGGTTGCACTGTATTGCACCATATAAAAATTCATGATATAGATATTTTCATGTACAGTATGTACATGTACAAATTTTACCATGGGTATTTCGTATATGTTATAAACTTACAGTATATCTTCACCTATCCTATACTGTATAAATGTGATATATGGCAACATCACTCTTGATGTAGGGACATATATGTCATGTTATAAGGGACATGTATTTGACAGCTGGAGTTACTAATTGCTTCACAGAATAAACATTTTCTTACAAAATCCAATATAACGAATCTAAAAGTTTAACTTATAAAATCTGATGCAGTGTCATAGATCAATCTACACAAGATTATTGAAGTTAAGATTAGCTCAAATGATTAATAGTAAAATACTGATAATTCCCTAACCCTAACAATAAATTAACATAATAAATAGTAATACAGGATTTTACTGCATTTTGATTATTTCAGTATGTTTAGTTCATACAGAGCTGTTTCCTTTATACCACTGATGATGTGATGATATTCATAATCCACAGTGTCACTATTAAACCTCTTCATTTTTTGATGTGTAACAAAGTTTAACAGATATTATGTAGTGAAGTGTTATCACTCTGACCCGCCTTTGATTAGTGATGTTTCTGAAGCTGATGGAAATATCTGAACTTCAGTTCACTGAGCCACTCATCCACCAGAGGGGGAAAAAACAACAATAAATGGACCCAGGTGATCTGTCCATGGTTTCCTGGAGGATTTTCCCTCCACACACATCATCAGCTTCATGACACCTAACAGGGAGCTGAATGTAGCTGAGAGACGTGGGAGGAAATCCACTCAGATGTTGAGTGTGATAGTAATGTAATGAAAAGGTTTATGTGTTTGCTCAAGTGGACCTCAAATTGTACACCTGAGCTGCTGGTATCAGAGCGCCGGGTGCTGATGTTCACCTTCAGGGTGACAGATTTATAACCACAGGTTAGACGAAGAATTTGAGGCTTGACTGAAATGGCGGCAAGTCGATGTTGCTGTGCAATCCACAGTGATGATGTGTGTGTGAAAAAATGGTCACTGATGACAGAGTGCAGCGCTGCAGCATCATTTGTGCTGTATAACGGTGCAATTCTCTAAATGACATCTCATTGTCCCTGAATGTGCTGTGTTGTCATTGGTGCAGCCGTGTGCTCTGCAGAGCGAGGCGCTGGAGATTTGTTACAGTTTGAGGCCATTTTACATCCTGACCTTGACTTGGAGGTCTTCAGCATCTTTGTGGAAACACAGAAATACTGCTGCATGAATCCAAACGACCTGCTGTTTAAGTCCACCATGTTTTCTCACAAGCAAACGCCTGTTTCATTGTTATAACTCAACAATGTGAACCAGCCTGTGTTCAGAGGTTTCTCTCTCTGTCTGGTGGCTCTTTTCTGCTGAACAGGAAGTGGAACATTTTACTTTCACACCTTCCAAAACTGTTACAACGGTGGGATTCAAGTCAGTTTTCTCATCTGTCACCTCTGCACTTCTTTAAGGTGAGAGGAGCACCTACAGCTCTTCATCAGGAAATGAAATCCTGAGGCAACAATTCATATTTTTAGATTAACAGTGGATCAAGTTGCTATGTCTGATATGCGAAGGGTTATCATGAACCCACAGAGAATTATCACCTTCCCTCAGATCTGCTGAGAATTTTAGCATCTTTCAGCTCATTGTTTTGGATTTACAGCCCGCAACTTTTTTCTGTTTTGGTTCAGGATACTTCCACACTGCTATGTTTTAGTTTTAAAACTCATCTGTTTTGATAAGTTAACACCTGGAGTCCACACTACTCCAGAGTTTTCAGAAAGACTGCTGGACTTATTTTTGTTTGAAATCTGCGGGGTTGCGTTTTAGTCTGGACAGACAGAAACTTAGATCTTTGGAAACGATGATGCAGACACCCATGATCACTCCCTGATTGGGTCAGCTTCCACTATCAGTGTTGAATGCAACATGGATAATGAATGAATTAATGAAATGTTGTTGTCGTCTTTGCTAGCAGCTAATATGCAGTTAAATTCTGCACTTTTATGCTAACACTACAACTATCTTTGCTGTTCCTCATTCGTAGTATTTATTTGTAACTAACTAACAGAGCAGAGTCAACAATCTGCTTCCTACCAGCTCGTGCATGCCCAGTGTACATAAAAAATGCATGTATGAGTTTTCAGGTGTGTTAGTTTGGACAGAGATCGTTTCTGATATGGAGCTGAAACGCTCGTCTGGGGGTTTCTAGACTGATTTAGTTTTAAAACGCTGTTTTAAAATGAAAACGTACATAGCTCTCATCAACATCATTGCCACAGCAGGCAGCTTTTTCAGTGTATAAGCTCTGCCAGATCTACAGTTCACTACCTGCCCAGCACCAAATGACAGGCAGACAAAGATGTCACCGAGCTGGTTCTATCCTAAAGAGCCAGATATTCCCCTCCTGGGTTGGTGAAGCCCAAACCAAAGCTTAAAGGAGAAACACCACACCGCATGAATGCTAATGTTGCTCTGTGTCTGCTGGAGGTGTAATTAGGTGCTTATCTGCTAATACAATTAGTATAACGACTTTATACAGTGGTATCAGTGTTGTAAGAAAAAAATCTAATTACACCAATTAATACCACAGCATATTAATAGGGAAATTAATGTAATCCAGTCTGAGTCCGCCTAAACACTTTGACTGTACATAAATGCAGGAGCTAAATACAACTCACAACTCAAATCACATTACATTAATGTAATGTTAATCAGACAGCTTTGCAGCTGTTTGGTTGTGCTGATTTTATGCTAAGCTAGGCTAACCATGTTCTGACTCCAGCTCTGTTCTCAGAGCAAAGACATAAGATTAATATGGAACTTATTATTGCGCTTTCAAAAAGAAAGAAAGCATTTCTGAAAATGGTTAACTATTCCTTTAATTATGATCTGCTCTACCATCATGAATTTCAATAGGTGCGGACAATAAAGAACAATAGAGATAATTATCTTGGTGATAATTACTTTGCTGAAGTATTATTCCAGGTTTCATAAATACATTAAGACTTTACACTGCAGCTTATAACAAAGGGACGAAACACAAACTGAAACTGTGAGTTGGAAACTGTCTATTCAAAGTTTTAATTGTGCTCTATATTCTGATTGTGCTTCATGTATAATGTATGGATTTTGTCTGCGGTGAAAAACAAAATGAATGCAGAT